CCCCTCCTTCACCCCCTTTACCCCCTATAACCCTCCTATACCTCCCCCTATAAACCCATCACCCCCCAAAAAAATTATTGCGGATTCGGGCTGCCCTCCTCAAGCCGCACACGACCATGTCATCGGAAAAAAAAAATAAAAAAATTTAGGCAGTCTGCTGACCGCCGACGGGTCCGCCTACGGGTCAGCCGGACTGGTAGGCGCGCCTACCGCCTACGGTAGGGGTAGGCGGTAGGCGCCAAAACAACCCTGCTGGCAGCTCTGCTCAGGTGAAAAGAGTAGTTTCTGCCTTGCATCCGATCCATCAGATGACATCTGCAGTCGATGACAATGTTTATCCTTCTCTTCCTGCGAATGCTAAGTCTTTTGAATGATTGCTCTTTCTCAGGTGGATTGCGAGCTGTCAGTATGCAATTGCGAGTGCTTCATGGCCACATACAGGAGTTGTGTATCGAGCCATCTCAGTCCTTCGAGCGATCAAACTCCGAGACCTTCTCACTGCCTCACTGCAATCGTACATGAAGTTTTTTGAGGCCTATGAGATCAAAGGTCCTATAGAGATTGATCCACTGGGTGGGCGTCTAATGTGGGCCACAAAACCAGTGTTCATCGTGGACCTTGTCGTTGTTGCTGATTCCTACAGGTAAGATCAACAACATAACCAACTTTGGTCTCTTGATGAACTTAACTTCGACGATTTGGATCCCCTTTTCTATCCCTCTTACTCTATCTCACTGCATTTTTTGTCATTGGTGCTCCTCTTGGTGACTGCTGCATCGGGATCGGATATTGTGAAGCTGAGCCCTTTTTTTGAGGGGTGTACGGCAAAGCGTGACTTTGCGGTCTTGCTTCCAATTGTCTGTGTTTCAGGGACCTGTATCCTGTGGCTGTCAACTCATGAATTCTGATGTTTCATCAGGTGTCAAAGCTGGGATTCCGATGGAGTACTACAAGGAATTCTGACGTTTCTTTGTGACGCTGCTGACCAAGGCATTCAACGAGCTCCTGTGGAAGGAGATTCTCCCCCCGGGATTTGCAGATGCGTATGTCATGCTAATCCATAAGAAGGGAGCTAAGGAGGAAGTGAGGAATTGGCCGCCCATCTCTATTCTGAATGCAAATTATAAAATTTTGGCAAAATTGGACCTATTACTCTCGCCAACCCGCTATCATTCCCGCCAAATTTCCCCAACACCAACTCACACACTACCACCCCCCCACTGCGAGGCTCAAGGCCTCGATCTGCCCTACTGGGCCCTATTTTCTGTACGGTCGGCCGCCCTAAGTGAAGGCAGGCTAGACCCAGGGCCTACTGGCCTGTTTTGGGGTCACAACGCAACTGGGTAAATGCAGGCAGTTGCGCAGCGCCATTTGGTTGAGAGCGCCCAGGCCCTGGCTGCCTCTTTTTGAATGTAACCGAGGCAGGCCCTGGGCCAGATTCGCAATATGGACCGAACACAGGCCGCAGGCAGTTGAACACGGGCAACCGCCACAGGCCCAGGGCTTGATTCGTTTGGACTGGGGCTCAGCCTCTCTGTGCCTACTGGAAGCTTCTGGGCAGGGGCCCAGCGCAGCCAAGCTACACGCAAGGCAGGCAGGCCACTTCCATTTAGGAAAGGGCCTGCCCACGCATTCGGCATTCGGGCACTGGCTGCATGCTGCGCAAGCGCTGCTGCGCTGACGCTGGCCAGCGCTCACGTGCTCACGGGGGAGCTGGAAGGAGCAGGCAGTCATAGCCGAGCTGCGCTGCTGTATGCTGGATGGGCGCATGGTGGTCTTTGGGTGCATGTGGCATCTGTGAGTTGGGGATCGAGGTTGTGAGTGATACGAGAGACATACCTGGTGCTTGAGGCGAACGGCATTGGCCGAGATCTGCTCGTACTTCGGGGAGCTGTTGACGTCATCAGCGGCATTGTAGATAGGCTAGATAGGATCTGCCATCTGTAGTCTGGGCACCGAGCGCCAGATAGGATATCGACATTGGTTCTTCCTTGATGATGATGAGACTATTCCAGCATTGTCAATTATGAGCTTTTGCTGTGCTCTTATCTGGTGGAACTCGTGATGCAATTCTGCTATTGGTTCGAGGTCACGACTATCTGGTCTCATGTGTATGATGCTCTTTGATTTCTGAAGTTCGCTATCGCTCATTTTCCTTGCACCACTCTCTCATTCGAAATCCCGGCTCAGGACCCATCCTTTCCATCCTGTCCAACATAACTTGTCACCCCCTACCAACATTGCTTCTCACCACCCCACTTTTTTCTTCCCATTACTCAAGCCAATCAATCACCTCTCACCTCTCCTCTCCACCACATCCCCTGCATCATAAGCAAGCTTCCAACTTTGTTCACCCGTCAAGTTTAATCTGTCTGGCCGCACTGAGCTCAATACGTCAGAGATAGAGGGATTCCTTGTCAGAACATAGCTTCACATAACGTTACCACGTCAGCCTATCGCTGCCTCGTGCTCCAAGTGGAGAGAGGGATCGCTGCCTTTACCTTGTCGACTGTACCCTACCTCAGCACCTTTCGTGAAGCACTACCTCAGTTCATGTTCGCTTCCCCGATCCCCAAGCCGGGAGAGGGAGCGCTGCCAATTTTTTTCTGGCCACACCCTACCTCAGCCAAACCCGATCAACCACAGTGCATCGTTAAGTATTGACCATTCATTGTCTTTTTAATAGTTTTTAGTTATTACTCAATTACTGTCTATTTACCGATTGGGGATTTCCTTCAATAATTTACACTGCGAACCCAACCAAGGAAAATAATTTAGATATCCATCTTAACTCACTTGCCTCAACCCCACATCAACGAACTGCATCTCACACGGATCATCATTGAACCTCCATCAATTATCAATTATTTGTTGAACATTAATTCTACTTTGTATTAATTGCAATGAACCTCTCAGTTCACCACCAATGAGCGCACACAATCACACACCATGCACGAATGAGATCACACAAAGTTCACACTGGAGGCCCGAGAGACGAAGACCAGGTAAGCGCAGCTTTAGAGTTCCAACAAATTATCATATGAGCAATTAGGAGTTCCGGTCACAAGCACTCAACAGCGCAAACCCAAGTAACCAGTATCTCCATTCAGGTAAGTATCTCTTTCGTTGCTCTTTTCTCTCCTCTCTGTCTTCTCTCTGTCTACTACCTCCCTGTATCTTCTCTCCCTACTTAGATGCACTCACACTCTCTACTACTCAAGGACCAACTCTGAATACACCCACTGCTAACTCTACTAACCCCTCTGAGGTCGACTACTAACTACTAGCACTGGCGCAGCTATGGCTGCCTTCCCTCTGCCAGCGCTGGGCAGCTGTGGCCACTCTCTCACTCTCCCTCTAACAGCACAGCTCCCTGGCTCAGCGCTCCGCCCCTCGCAATAACGCACAAGTGCACCAGCACTTCCACACTTCATGCGAATGAGGAATCGGCCAAATGAGGAGGCTGGCCAGTCCTTACATTGTCTTGGACCGAGCTTCAACTCATGCCAGCCTCTGCTTCCTGGGGCTTGACTTGGTTCCGGTACCACATCCCCACGGCCTCTTTGATTTCGAATGTCAGGTCCTGGTACCTTTTCCAAATTTTCATTGGTGTGCTGCTGCTTAGGCCTTTGAGTCACGACTTTTCGATTGTGGCACATGGCTTTCGACTGTGCTTTGTGACTCCTGCCACTGGGACACGACTCTTGCCTGTGAAGTGTCCTTTGCCCGTAGGATGTGACTTTCCAATATGACTTTTCATTATGAGAGGTGATTTTACCCCTGAGATGTGACTGTTTGTCGGGTGCCTGTTGGACTTGACTGCTAAGGTACCCAACTGTGACTTTTCTGAAACTGACCAACTTGGCCTTTCTTGGCTTAGGCCTCTGACCCTGAAACTCGAATTTGGGGTCTGAATTGTGGAAGGCCTTACACTCTCGCCGGCCTAATTTCGAGGTCCTCCGAGAAAGTTATCAACTTTATCTGTCCATTATGTTAATTCCTCTCTTAGCTCTCTCATAATAAGACACAATATGTGGTGCTGTCTCAATTAGTTCATCCCTTGTGAACCAGCGATCTTCTGTAGGTTCCTGATAGGCAAATCTAACCTTATACTGTTGCTGTGGCCTACGCCTGCGCTCAGATCTGTAAACAGTGCGCTATTCTGAGAACAATCCCTGATCAAAGGCAGTGTTACATGCACAGATATGTGATGTTTGTAATAACCGAGGAACTGCAATGTGACGAAAAGGACTGAAATGRACAATGCGGTGAGAGTAGAATCTCGACAGACAATGTGCATTCTCATACATACAAAAGTGCTGAATAGCGCAGGGAAGACTYAGATACAAAGACTRACCTGACAAGGACTGACCTTACACACGTAGTAGCAAGTAGCGAAACAGACTGCTAGAATGTTGATAGCTAGTCCAACCGATGGTTGAACTCAGACCAAACATGCATCGTACCCCTCACCATGTGTGAAGGAGCCTGGCGCTGCACTCAGGAAGAAAGCGCCAGGTCCAGACATGCATAGACGAAGAGGTAAGGATCAAACGAAAGGAGGGAGGAAGATGGGAGTGTCGTTAACACCAAGTCTT